CTCACATGTCAGGACAACCTATATATTCCTCTTCCCACCTGGGTCTAAGGGTTTTATTTTATTTTCAGAATTATAGTTTTTACAGTAGGAAGTTTCTTACTGTATATCTTTTTGTATATCAATATAGACCCATGTTAAAATTTTTAACGGAAAACAATTTCAAAACTACAAAGGGCATGAGGTTTTACTCTACGTGCAAGGAACAAGTTAATCCATCACAGTTTCACAGGTGCTGGCAGAAAAACAAGACACCCTAACCAGAGATAAAGGGCAGTTTATTACAGTAATAGCAGTATCTAGAGTATCATCAGTTTCTTATTGTGGTTTTTGAAGTCCAAGTTCCCATAGGGCAGTGAAATGCATCCAGATGAAGCCTGCTCACACAGTAGGTTGTGTAACAGATAAGGGACAAGTTCAGGGAGCCCTCATCTAAAATGGCAGTAAAAAACTAGCCTGGTATTTTCCTTGGAGGGAAACACATTCTGTATTTTATTTGACAGTAAACAAACCTGCCATTTTCTCCACAGGGAAACATTCTCACAATTTTCCAGCACTGCTCTACATGCAAACATCCTTCATAAGTTAATGATTGGTGCTTCAGCTTGCAGGGCATCTAGAATGTAAGAGACCTATGGAGAACTGTGAAACTTTCAGTAATGTAATTATTGTAGGCAAATCTCCCATTAAAATGTAAAATATAAACTACTCATTCATCTGTAAATACTTATCAAAGATTTGTTGTATTCCATGGATATAACCCTAAAGAAACACAACCCTTGATTCATAGAGCTTATATTCTTCTATATCGATATAAATAAAAACCAAATATATTAAAAATACATTATTCTATGAAAAGATATACGTGATGACATGACATGATATGTTGTAACAACACGGTATCACATCATGTAATAAATTAAGTAAATGTGCTTATAAACCATTTTGCTCCTAAGAGGGTCAGAGATAGCATATTTTAAATAGAAAAATAATTCTTTTTATGGCAAAGAAAATTCCAAAAGGATATTTCTGTTGCTAATTATATATGGGCTATTGTTTTTAAAACGACTGAAAATTTTAAGTATTATTTATACTCAAACAATTTTCTAGTAAACTTAAAGCATGTTGTGAAAATAACTATGTGAAACAACTATGTGGAAACAAATATAAAAAATATTTCAAACAAACGAATAATTGACCTGCATTTCCTAGAAGCTTTAAGTAATGCCCAGACACTGTCTCATGCCCAGCAGTGCAACTTCCTTTGGGAGGTTCAGTTGGTCATACCACCCACACACTTTTGATCATTACCTACATATGCAGTGGTCATGTCAGTAGCTAATTGCCCACGTTACTTTCTTCATTTTTCTTGTTAAAAAGAGATTTTTTTTTTTAATGAGCTCAATATATCAGCCTTTTTAGCAGGATTATTAATAATATGCATACCCTCATTCATTATTTGGTGTTCCTTTTTTTTCTGAGCTCTTCCTTCTCTGATAAATCTGTAAAGTATCTCGAACACTGTTAAAAATCATTTGCTCCCTCTTTACTTTGCTAACCCTTTTACCTGCAAGTACAAAAAAATACATGCCGAATAGTCTATTTTTTCTTAACTACTCTGGCTTGACGTTGTCCAAATTTGCCAAATTTATTCACTTAAATTTTAAAGCTTAAAATAATATTTTTAGCATAAGCAGAATAGGATAAGGCTTTTTATCACCTTTTTTATTTTTATTTTTTTGAGACAGAGTCTCACTTTGTCACCCAAGCTGGAGTGCAGTGAGTGGCACAATCACGGCTCACTGCAGCCTCGAACTCCCAGGTCTAAGTGATCCTCCTACCTCAGCTTCCCAAATAGCTAGGAGTACAAGCACACACCATCATGCCCAACTATATAAGACTTTTTAAATGTGTAAACATAAAACAGTGAAATAAAATACACAAAGCATAAGAATCAACAATACAACAAAAATACACTGTCAAAATATCTAATGTACTTCATAAGTATACACACCTACTATATATCCCTAAAAATTAAAAATTAAAGTAATGCAGTAATTTATATGGAAATATTACTATAATTTCCTAGAAGCCAGGGTCAAAAAGAAAACATAATACTTAAAAAAAAATCACTTTCATTATATTCTCCAAGAAGGCATTTTCTCCCTGTGCTAAAGTTTAAAAGAAATTTCCTGTTTAAGCTAACATATAAGAACATTGAATAAAACAATGTGATTTTTTACCACATTACTTAACCTTCCTGACTCTTGTTCTTCATTTGCAAAATTGGTTAAGTATTGTATATCTTCCAAGGTTGGTAAGATAGAAATTACAAAATTTATTTTTCATTGAACAAATATTATCTAAGTTTCTTAGAATTTCAGGCATAGTTCTAGGTGCTGAAGATAAACAGGGAACCAACAAGTGTCTGCCTCAGGAGTCTGTGTTTTATAAGGAAAGAGAGAAAATAAACAAATGGAAAGGTTATAGCACAGCTGACAACAGTTAGTGTTTTGAAGAAAAATAGTAGAGGTTAAGGGGAAGGTGACAGTGTATGTGTTTTAAATAATCTGCTCAGCCTAGTTTCTTTCTTTTAGATGGAGTTTCATTCTTGCTGTCCAGGCTGGAGTGCAATGGTACAATCTCTGCTCACCACAACCTCCGCCTCCGGGGTTCAAGCGATTCTCCTGCTTCAGCCTCCCGAGTAGCTGGGATTACAGGCATGTGCCACCACACCCAGCTAATTTTGTATTTTTATTAGAGACAGGGTTTCCCCATGTTGGTCAGGCTGGTCTTAAACTCCTGATCTCAGGCAATCTGCCCACCTTGGCCTACTAAAGTGCTGGGATTACTGGCAGGAGCCACCACATCTGGCTACAATTTTTATTAAAGTGAAATTAGATTAGAGACATTAATGATGTAAGGGAGAAAACTCTGGAAAAGAAGGATTTCTGCAAGAAGGAATGGCAAGAACAGTGTCCCTAGAGGAGGAAAAAGCACACATTTGGGCAATAGTGAGACTGCTAGTCAGCCAAAGAAGAATAACTGAAGAGAGGAATGGGCTGGGAGAATAGGAGAAAGGTTCCAAGACACAGGCAGGGGTAAATCTCAGAGTCCCTTTTTATCTATGGCAAGGAGTTTGGACTTTATTCGAATGTAATTGGAAACACTGGTAGGCTTTGATCTATGACATTACTTCATGTCTTAAAAAAAAAAAAAGTCACTAGGACACCTCTGTTGTGTACTGACAACTGACCTGCAGCATAACAGGAATGTAACCCTGGATGTCAGTAAGTTAGCTGTCAGGGTACTTCAGGAGGCTTAGCTAGGGAGGTTGCTTAAGGTTGTGAGAAGGGGTCAAGTTTATACTGTGCTTCGAGCATAAATATCAGGATCTGATGCTGATGGAGCAGATGGGATATATCATGAAGAAAAGTAAGGATGACTCCATGGAGAGTAGGTTTTGGAGGGAAATCTACCACTGTGGTTTGGACATTTGAAGTTAGGCATACCCTTTTTTCACCCAAGTGGAGGTGGCATACAGATGGTTAAACATACTAGTCTGGGGCTCAGGGAACAGGCTGGTGGGTGGCACTGAAAGCCATAGGATTACAGCTTTCAATAGGATTGGCTAATGAGTGAATATACATAAAGAAAAGAGGGCCAAGGATTTAGCATTGGGACGTTTCAGCATTTAAAGGACGAAAGGAATATGAGAAGTCTGGAAAAGTGACTGAAAACAAACATTCAATACAATGAAAGGAAACCCAGGGGAATGTAATATCCTAGAAGACCCATGAAAAACTTGTTTCAGAAGTAGAAAGACAATCTTTAATGTGAAATGCTGTTGAGATCAAGTCAGTAAATGCTAAGAATAGACTTTAGATTTGGCAGGATAGAGACGGTTGGTGACCTTGGTATAGTGAGTTTGAAAGCCTGAGTGATGTCAGTTTAGGAGAACGTGGGAGGTGAGGAAATGGAGATATGAAATACACACAACTCTAATGTGAATTTCTGGAAAGATTTTACACTTCATTTCCACTCCCATACAGTTTTCCACCAAACTCTTTTCCAGACCTCCTGGATCTTAAACTTCCAATCGTTCCCCTTCCAGGTCCCTGAAAAACCAACCAATATAGTAACTACAGACTGTGGACATCCCATCCAGGCCATTTCATTTTTCATACAGAGTAGATAATCAACTGCATCATCCCCAGAGTTCTGCCCACTGGGAAGAATACTCTTCACCACTATCTTTCAAGGTCATCCCTGAGTTAAGCAGCAGAGCATCTTCAGTTTACCTGAAGATATTAAGCACTAGCTTTTTCCTCCTCTACTAGCTGGCCATGCAGGACTCCGTACAGCCACAGATATGAGCAACATATATGAATAAGAGATACCAGAACAATGGTGGTAATGACAGGAGCCTGCTCCTCACCCTGCTCTGGCCTGATCTGAGGTGTACAACTTCCTCCTTACAATGTATTGCTGGGCCCACTGAACCTTATTTTTTGGGAAGCCTACCAGACCCCAGTTCATGATAGTTAGCTCTGACTGCATAATAAATGCATGCCTAATGGTCATATGTTCATTCTCTTCTGGAGCCCAGGAGGATGCCAGCTGCTATTTTTTTAAATGGTGTGTAATTTGTATGCTAAAGATATCATGGTTTTGCTCCAGAAACCAAAGGCTCCATATTATCACCATTCTCCTGGGGCTTGCCATAAATTTCATGTGGTCTTATTTCAACTACAGATATATCTAAAAACAGAGTCTATAATCCCCATCTCAGATGCTGCTTGCTGAAGAGCCCAACTGCAAGAGGCCTCTAATGTCTTTCATTTGTAAGTTTTAAAGTAATAGATATGCTATAATGAAACCATTATTCCCTTTAAATAATAAAGCCTAGACAAAAAGTTGAAATCCCTTATTCGATAAAATATAAAGTTAATATAATGCAGTCTCATGATGCTAGTACTAACATGCTGGTTTTTCTTTTTTTAAGATTACACCACTGAGACTTCACTGATGTATAGTACTTAGGAGTGAGATGTTAATCTGACAAATGACAATGGTAAGTACTAAAGAATTGTTATAGTTTAGTCAGTTGAGGGCCACACAGTCAGTTTTAAGATATTTTGTCACATTAATTGCTGCTAAATAATCCCAAATATGCTATCATGTAGATTTGGAATTGAATTTACCTTTCCATTTTTAAACCAAATAATCCCAAAGCTAGAATCTGTTTATCTAGCCAATCTACCATGAAATCTAGAAGCTAGAACTACAATTTTGAGATATTTCATATCTTTTCTGGATGGAAAACTATTGGTCTTCAATTATATCTCAAGTCAACTTATTTAACATAATACTATTTTGCCCTAAAGCTCCTGTGACACAAATGTTTACAGAAAAAAAGCCATCGAAACCTGAATCATATTTTCTTTAGAACATATAATTCTACGATAGAGTTTTAAAGGAAATTTCTAAAAGAGAGGATGTTACATGAGCTCTAACCTGTAGCACTGACCCTATGGAGTCTCTTAGTTCAAGAAAAAGGAAAAAAAAAATACTTTCTGTTAATCAGTAGATCACTGACAGTAAAGCTCTAAGCTATAGAACTGACCCTGTGGAGTCTCTTAGTTTAAAAAAAAATTACTTCCAGTTTATCAGTAGATCAGTCTGTCAGATCACTGACAATAAAGTTGCTAATGATACCTTGAGCTTTTAAATTGGATTACTTGATCTGCTAGACCAACCAGTGGTTTTCAAAATATGCTGTAAAAGGGAGGTGAAAATGCATTGGTCAGGGCCAAATCAACCACATCCCTGTTCCAGCCTTCATGAAAAAGGAACTCTGCTGTCTGTTTCACATTGTAAGCTCCTGAAAAAGAGTAGCTTTGGAAGACAATCTTGGGGAGATACAATCCTCAGCACATGGCACTGTCCGTACAGCTGACTTGATCTGTGCTAAAACTGTAAATTTCTAAGCCTATTACTGTCAAATACTGCATTAAAAATTTGAGAACTACAGTCAATATCTCTGTGGAAAAAGAAGAGACATCCAAAAGGTGGATTTTGAGGCAGGGCACAGTGGCTCATGCCCGTAATCCCAACACTCTGGCTGAAGCAGGTGAATCATTTGAAGTCAGGAGTTCAAGACCAGCCATGGCTAACATGGTGAAACCTCATCTCTAACAAAAAGATACAAAACTTAGCTGGACCTGATGGCATGTGCCTGTAATCCCAGCTTCTTTGGAGGCTGAGGCAGGAGAATTGCATGAACTCAGGGGGCAGAGGTGCAGTGAGCCAAGATTGTGCTACTGCACTCCAGCCTGGGCCACAGAGCAAGACTCCATCTCAAAATAAGTGAATTAATTTTAAAAGGTGGATTTTTGCAAGCAAAAAAAAAACTATTCAGAATTTTATTGGGGGAACTAAACGCTGTTATTCAATTAAATGAAATTATACATTAAAAACTATAGTTTTCTCTTAATCCTTAAATTCAGCTTGCCAATCTAAATATTTTATTTGTGATTGTGCAGATTTTAATAATTTTTTTAAATGAATAATGTTTGGTCTCATTTACACATATATTTTCTCAGACATTTAAATGGCATTCATAAATGTATAGATTCTTTTTTATTTTAAAACATTTTAACTAAATTAGTTAACCAGATCTTTCCAAGTACCAAAACAATTTTGTTAATCTAAAAATTAAACATAAAAATGCAAGGAGATTTACATTTTCTTAAAAGTTCTATTTTTGAAAAGGAACACATTAAAATTTCAACTTAAAATCTTTTCTAAATTGCTCAATTACATTTGAAATTAGAGTTGTAGTCTTTGTGTTAAGAGCCAAAATTACCTTACATATTGACCTAAATAAAATATCAACCATACACAAATTCGTTCTAACAAAATATTCATACTATTTTAAAATTTCTTTTTATAGTAGATTCTATGGTGTGCTGCTGTGGCAGATTATATTTTCCAAAAATTATCACAACAGTATTTCTGGTCTCACCTCACTCCCCATCAAACAGCAGAATCTGTTTTTCTAGCTCTTAAACTGAGCAAGATTTTGCAATTGCCACAAAAAAAAAAAAGGAAGAAAAAAAGGAATTTAGAGGAAATGATGTTTCCACCATGTTGTGAGGAAGCCCAGGCCACACGGGGTGGCCGACAACCCAAACCCAGGTACTGGTTCACAACCAGCATCAACAAACAAACATGAGTGGCAAGTCTCCAGTTAATTTCAACGTCCAGTCTTTGAGTCATTGTAATTATGTTGAGTGGAACAAAAAAGGACTATCCCCACTGAGCCATGCCCAAATTGTAATTTGTGGTCAAAATCCATGTTGTTGTGTTAAGCCACCAAATTTTGGGGTGGATTGTTGAGTACCAGTACATAATTAACACAGCTGTTCAGAAACCCACTTTAGAAATGTGGTGACCATTTCTCTAGCTAATGGTAATGTGGACAGCTAGTGGGAAAGCTGTCAATCAAATCACTCTCTGGAAGTGGCCCTTTGTTAAGGAGATTTGCTTCAAAATTCCCTGGATAACTTTTAGTCCCAAATTCAGCTCATATCAAATAACTGGTTGATGGAGAGGTGCAAACTAACAACTACTTGCCCTAAGCCTTATCAAGATAGAAGAACACTGAATGGCCATCTCAGCACACAAGCTCCCTGTGGATTCTATGAGACCTTTATGGGGATGCACCCACATCAACTCTTCTTTTTGGGGAGAGCCCCTTCCAAAAAAGCTCTTACACACAAATCATCTCAGAATCTGTTTCCCTGGAATCCAACCTAAGATACCTTTCTACTCTTATTTTTTAAGTCTTCCCAGGATTAAAATATGCACTCTCACTCATAGAGGCAATTACCTAAGCTTTTGAATGGCATGCTGAGTGGATTCTTATTGGCCATTCTGATGTGACATCCTAAACTCTATTTCATTTTTCTGTGTTAATAATTTTTTACTCAAAGGAGATAATCATGTAGGCCAAATTCTTTGATTCAGTACTAATAGAAGTCAGCAAAACATGCAGCTCCATCATTCAGGATCCAATCAGGAGGCAATAACCATGGTAGTTATTTGAATTTAATGAAAAGAATTGTTAATTAGTAGAAGATGGATAAGAGAGGTAAAAGAGGACTTGCAAGAAGTGGCAAGTACAAAAAAGTGACTACTACCTCTGAGCCGAGGGGGTACGGACAATAACAAAACAAAACAAGCTAAAACAAATGAAAAAAGTTAATGACTAGGAATTCTTGCTGCCAAGGTTGAGAGGCAGAGTTCTTCCAGTATAGGAAACATGTAGACTTCTGGTTGCAGAGAAATTCCCAGAGGCTGTGCATGTGAGGCAGTCTGTAGAAGTGCCCACAGTTGCTGCAGGGTGTGGTCAGGAAGTGCTAGAAGTTCAGAATTGGTTGTTGGCAAGATCATGACATGAAGGCACAGCCAAATTGCTTCTGTGGGAGCTCTTGAAATTTTGCACTGAATAATAAAAATGGAAGACCAGAGCCACAAAGGGAAGTATCTTCCTTTATTACAGGCTTGCAGGATCTCTCCAGTGCCTTCTATTGATAATGCCTAGCATTTTGTCCATTGGCAAAGTAAACACGTTACTTGGGTTGTATCATTATCATGAAGCGTAGGAAGAAATAGATTTGGAGCCGAAAGAAAATAACACATTATTGGAACACCAAGTTAATCACTTGATTGGATTTTGCATTTCTTTTGCTCTTTATAAACCTGCGTCACTAAAAGCTTAAAGACCTTTGAACTTGACAGAATTCTGCACAATTTCATTCTTCAACCATACATCTTTAACTGATATTTAAAATGCTATCTGATTGGATTTTGGCTACCTCACATGACTTTATAACTTGCTTTTGCACCATTTGAGATCAGTTTATAGTCCTGATGCATTGTACAAATTTACTTTTGTTAGCTCAAACAAAGCAGTTTATTTTAATGAAGTTTGTGGGAATAATTAAGACAGGAATAGGAATCTTAGCCACGTAATCAGTCTTCACCAGAACACAGGGAAGAGAGTCATAGTTGACTCTTTATATTAGTTGTCGTTAGTTGTCTCTGAAATCAGAACACACTCAGGTAGTAGCATATCTAAGGTTGAACCAGTGACTGCATTACCTCGTTGCCTCCCTGACAGTGGTAATTAATGATTCTTTCTCATGTGGTCTCTCAGTTGATCTGTATGTTTTTCTTCTGCACCTACCAACTAAATACATTACTTTTACTCTGTAATGATCTTGTTTTCTACTTCACAGCATATACTGATTTCGAATTTATCCTTAATTATGGCTTCATCTCCCTTCTAGCAACTACACATTGCCTTTTCTCTATGAGTCTTTTAGCTTATGTTTCTGCTACTAACATGTTGATATTTTCTCCATATCTCTAGTTCAAATTACAAAGAAGCAGACTTTTATTGATTTGGCCAATTAATGATCTTTCTTCTTGGAAAGAACTTAATTTCAAACCACCTCATACGTTCCTAGCCATTCTATGGATTGACTCATTGAGTTGATGGTTAACTCCTGATCAAATCGGTAACTATCAGTAGCGTAAGTTCATGTGGCAAACAGTATGGCCACCAGCTCTATATTAGAAACCAAATAAAGTTGCTTCTCTCAGCAAAGGAATCTTCACATGAAAGGGATACATTGGGCTGGTGGGACAGACGAGAAACTTTGAAAGGTCCTGCATAGTACACCACTCAGTCTAAAAATACCAATGAAAGGGAGTTTCCTAAAGAAGTTCTCCTCACTGTTTCCCAACAGTGGCTTTTATAACTTTCTGTCAGCACCAACAGTGACTTCAGTTGACTGTGCTGATGAGCAATGATGGGATCTCCCATGGGTTTCTCTTTTTGACAGTTCCCTATGGCCCTACCAACAGCTTGCAAGCCTCTTGGAGAATAAACAGTTCACAATTGCCCTCTCAGCATAACATACAACTAAGCCGTTGCTGAGGCAAAGCCTTTTTACAGTTTTTATAGTCACCTCCGATTTGCCATTGGTGTTGTGATCATTTCAG